TATGCGCAACGTAATGGAATAGCGTAATGAATGGTTCATGGGGGGCAGGATGTCTCTGGCTTAATCATCAGAGCCCCATTTTGCAACTGGTGGACCGTGCGGTTCTAGTAAAAACCAAAGTGGCTCTCAGAAGTCTGAGGACTGTCCACCACCGTTCTGCAAAGCCAGCTGAAAAGAGCAGCATGCATATCAGTCAGTTGTGCTGTTGCTCAGTCATAAAGCACCTGTTTGGATGCAGAAGGTCCTGGATTTAATCTCCAGGCAGGACTGGGGAAGGCATCCCTCCAAAACTCCAGCAAGCTGCTGCCAGTCAGTGACTGGGTTCAGACAACATTGATAACCCACATTCAAGGGTTGAGTATGGGTTGGTTTTGAACTGTGAGTTGTAGCTTGAATATGGGTTAGTGTCTGAACCCACCAGTACTAACAGGTCATGGGTTGTTAACCTTAAACAACCCATGAATAGAACTAATGGTTTGTTGTTAGGGTGTGCAGTAAACAGTGTGTTGCTTTCCTGACTGGGCTCATACAGCCCAATAATGTTTCAACATCACTGACAAATACAGTTTTGCGTGCACTATGTTATGTGCACTTATCCCTAATATGCACAGTTTTCTGCCCATTTTTTCAAATGATGGATTTCAGATTTCAGTACACAGCTCTTGTTTCAGCCTCCTGAAATGCTGGGAGGTACAAATTGAGAAGTCCATTTTAAAAGGAGAGAGTTGGAGCAAACCTTGATGGAGGACATGCCTTACCTTAGGCAGGAGTTGAAGCTCATAATGCTGGGCGGGTCTTGCTTGGTGCCAGCCTGTATGTCAAGGAAAAGGTATATTATGAGGTTCGATTTTTTTTTATCACAATCATCATCACCTTCATCATCTTTATTTTTATCCTGCCTATTCTCAATTGGGACTCCTATAAAACCCCTGGATTTTCCTACAGCTGAGCAAACTACCATGCAGATAGTTCTGCCATAGGTGATTCCCACAGCAAATCTGAATCAAATGCTTAAATGTGCCACAGTATATTGGGCTCTTCCTGGCTTTCTGTACACTCCTTTGGATGTTGTAAAGAATGTGAACACTTCACAACAATCTAGTACACTGTATTAGAAGCATCTTGAATGTCACATTGATTTTGAGTCCTTGGAGGGCAAAGAAAGCTAGTGTTGGTGTTGTTGCAGGCTGGCCTATGCCTATGGGACAGTATGAGGTTTAAACATACAAGATAAAATAATAAACAGACTAATTTGCCTGATGACATGTAGCCCTTGCAAGTCAGCAGAAATATCTGTGATAGGCATCTCCAACCTGTTTGGCCACAAAATATTCCCACTCAATACATGCCCACAGCAGCCAATGTTTACCTGATTGATTATCAAACACACACGTACTTGCACAAGCCTGCTTTGGTGAAACTAAAAATAAGATGTGTCATTTGAAAAATGAATTGCAAGTATATTATTATTATTTCTATGTATATTAATAGCAGGAGTTTTCTAGGCCATTCACAACAATTCTCACCAAATACAGACAATAAAATGGAACTTAAAATTTCAATGCATATAACGGAAAACTATTTAAATGATTTAAAACAATTTCAATAAGAGTCCTGGATGGAAGAGCAGCTGACATAAATGTCCACGTCATGTGCCCTTAAATGCCTGGGAGTGGAGGGCAGTCTTAACCTGGTATCAAAAAGATGACCGAGTTAGCACCAGGAAGGCCATGATGGAGAGATCATTCCATAATAGGGGGCCTGCCATGGAGAAGGCCCTCTCCTTTGTTTCCAGCCTCTGAGTCTCCCTCCAAAGTGGAACTCAAAGGAAGGCCTCAGATGTTGATTGCAAGGTCAAGTGGATTAGGTCAGGGGAGGAGTTCCATCAGGTACTGTGGACCCAAGCCATGTCAGGTTTTATAGGTAAAAACCAGCTCCTTGAATTGGGCTCAGAAGCATATGGACAATCAGTGCAAGTGGGCCAGACTCTAGTTTATTCAATATACAGTAATATATTCCTCCCCCAAACAATTCTACCCTTCCCTTCAATATCCGTTTTCAGGGCAGTCTACAAAATTGCACAACAATAAAGAGAAATCTCTTGGCAACAGCAAAATGAAAAACACCATAAAATCCTGGAAGTATTAAAAGGACTTTGACCACAGGGCTGGCGTGTGGAAAGAGTTCCTGAAATGAGGAGCCACGGCAGAAATTTCTCTTTCCCTGGTTGCCACCTGTCTCACCTCAGAGGCAAGTACCCAGAGGAGAGGTTGACTTCATGAAGTCAGCGCATGGCATACTTTGAGCAGGAATGCTTGATAATGATATAAGGACAGTCATTCCTTCGGGTTCCTGGGTCCCAAGTTGTTGTTCAGGCGTAGAACCTTGCATTTACTTGGAGATGTTCTGGGGACCAGTGAAGCCCTTTAGCATCAGCCACATGGACACTACTGCAGCATGAAGCAGAATTGTTTCTTTCCTTTGTTGGCATGCCCTGCAGCCAGCAAATCTCTTTTATTTAAAGTGCAATCCTGTGCAAGTTTAGACAGAAAAAAGGCTGACAACTCTCAGCATCCCCGTTTTTCTATCTGAACATGCATAGAATTACACTCTCCATTTGTGTTTGACACAGTTGCTTGCTCCATTTCCTGATATTTAAAACAGAGACACAGCCTACGACCTTCTAAGATGACGAATTAAGTGTTACTCTGCTCATAGTGAACTCGAAATGCTGAGTGCCAAAACAGGGCCACTGGGAGATATTAGAATGTTCAGGGAAGCCCTGATGTTTGCCAAGATACCAAACAAAACAAAACCAACCTTAAGGGGTTGGGACAAAAAAAGAGAGGAAACCAACTTTTCCAGCCTACTGTGGACTGAGCATGCTCCGTAGCTAAGGAATGTTAAGTATACTCTGGAAAATTAACTGGAGTGAGCAGTGGAACGCCCTGCCTGGGCTTCTTACAGCTGAGCATATGCTGGAGGAAGCAGTGTGTCGTGGAGTCAGGTGTTGCAGAGATGCAGGCAGGCCCTTTTTGGCCAGCTGAGGTCATCTGTCCTCCCCACTTTCCGGGTTCTTGCTCCTGCTAACCTTAGTTGCCATTCTGACAGTTTCTGGGACAGGCATTGTCCCCTTTTGTGATGCAAAAAGTTTTGCTGATGTTTTGCCTTCAGCGGGCAAATCAGACCCACAAACCTTTCAAAAGACTGGTCCGGATGCAGAGACATCTGTTGCACTGGCTTGTTGATACGGATGGAAACAGCTGTCCAAATTTTCAGACTTTCTCTGGGGTTATGGGTGTTGCAAGGAGACTCTGCATTGCTGCGGCATGAGCAGAAAGGCACGGCTCCTTGGCATGACTGCCAGGTGGCAAGGATGCGGTGGCAAATGTTGTTGCAGGTCACCCCTGTTGCACTTCGTTCATAGCAGTCCATGGTGCTGACAGAGTACATGATTTTGTTTCCTGCCTGTAAGTTGACTCAAAATTCATTGACGGGATTGCAGAAGGGCATGTTTGGCTCCCTTATCTTGGGCGCATTTCCTGTCTGCGCCAAACGCTCATTCCGGAGCAGAGGAGACATTGCTAAGTATGGCAGTGCCTCACCCTCAGTTGCTTACCTGCACTGAAGGGTCACTGTAGCTGAGAGAGGAAACGGCCTTTGCGTGCAGGATCCCACGTACAATCCACTTAAATCCCTCTAAGAAATGTCAGGCATGGCTAATCGAGAAATTTCTACAATCATCACAAATGAACAAGTGGGGCATGGCTGGGAGCTTTTCTGTCTAAACAGCATAGGATCGCACCTCAACTCCTCCAGATCTTGTGCTTTTATAATGATGATCTTTGTTGGGCTTTTATGCATTGTGTTATCATTTGTTCTTAACCACTTTGGGGTTTTTGAAATGGGAAGCAGTATTTGTATGGTCTAAAGTAAATAAAAAGTGGCTCCATTCCTAAATCACAGAAGCATTTTTCAGCCCTTTTATCCACCTTGAAAATTGATGTTTCATTTCAGCTAAAATATATGATGGGGACATTAAGGTGAATTTATTGTGAGGGAGGAAGAAAATTAGAGCAACTTGTCTTTTCTTTTCCCCAGTAAGCCCTGTTCTTTTTGAATCATGGGCAATTTAAAATGGCTGCTACTGTTGAAAATGGCTGCCTCATTTACATCCTTTGTAGTGGATAGCAGTTGAATATCTGCAGAAGAATGCATACTTTTCAAAAGTGAGCAGATTTCTTCTCCAGCAGCTCATTAATTTAAGAAGTGCATTGTTAAATTCCTCTCCAGAAATGGGGCAGTGATTGAAGCAGGCTTGTTTTGAGATTTACTTGCAGGATGCCCCCTCCAACCCACCCCACCAACCCCACCCAATCTGTTACTGTTGCATTGTTTAAAAGGCATCCCATTCTCTTTTGTCTTGTCTTGCTTTGTTTTATCTTCTGTAGGGGTGATTGGAGATTTAACAGTGCAATCCTATCCATGCTTAATCAGAAATAGGCTTCTTTGATTTCAGCAGGATTTTGACCCAAATAAATATACTTTCTCTTTAAATAACTAGGTCAAATTCATGCATTTTTGGTTGAATCTCAGTTTCTCTACTGTCCTAGTGTCTGGGAGCTGCCTCCAAGTTGTGAAGCCATTTTCAGGTAGTTTTTACTGGTCCCAGTTCAAGGTAAAGTACCTCTAGGTGGTTGTATGCAAACTCCATTGGAAGTGCCTTAGACCTGATATGTCTCCCACCCTCCAACCTGATCTTGCTAATATCTTGCTCACTTTTCAAAGGTTTGTTCCCAGTGTAGGTTAAAATTAAAAGAAGAATGAAGATGCAGTAACATTTCAGCAATAACTGCAAATTCATCGATTGAGGTTACTGCTGCAGAGCTATGCAAACTCACTTTAATTGATGTATTCCACCCCGCCTTTAAAAGAACCTTGTGTTTATCCTCCCAGAGTATAAATTGCTTCTCAAGATATCCCCCCCCCCTTTGTTACAGGAGCAGTTCTGAAAGGAGGAAGGAGAAATCACGGGATGCGGCACGGTGCAGAAGGAGCAAAGAGACCGAAGTGTTCTATGAGCTGGCCCATGAACTACCGTTGCCTCACAACATTAGCTCTCGTCTGGACAAGGCATCGATAATGCGTCTCGCAATCAGTTTCTTACGGACACACAAGCTTTTGGCTTCAGGTAAGCCTTGCAAGCAAGAATGTCATCCCAGCCCCTCCAGGCTTCCCAACTGGGAACATAGCTCTTGATTTCAAGGATTTTCTAGTATTGTATATTTTGACCACTCTTCCCCACTTGGGCATAGACGCCACCAAAGAGCTCCTTTTAAGTCCCTCCTACCCAAGACAATCTGCTTCAGTAAAGGATTTATACAAGTTGCTGCTGCGAGCTGGGTTTCTTCCCTCCGTACATTCCTTTCTTTGTAAAAAGTTCTTTATTCACCAAAGTGTTTTCCAGAAGCACAGTCACCCAGAATGACTCTGACCATGCACAGAGTAGTTCATTGAACCCAGACTAGTATTTACTACTAGGAACTCACCTTGAGTATGTTTGGGCCGTTCTTTTGGGAGGAGCCTTTTGGAAATGAGTGTGCCACCTCTGCATGCCAGTCCTTCAACTGGGCTGCCCATCTCTGTTGACGTCAGAGCGTGGCATCAAGAACCATACCCACTTCACCTGTCCCTGAGAAACTCCTCTTTTCCAAGCACCTCCTGATACTGGTACATTTTGGTTATTCTCAGAGGCTGCCTGAGCACCTGGGGAGTCTGGCCTGAGACAAGCACCTTCACTTCTCTTACCAGCATGTCTGGAAGTAGCTCACATTCCAAGCCCACACCCCCTCCCCCATTCCTCCTCCAAATCCAGGTCAGCTTGCCCTGGGAATGCACACCAGCAGTAACTGTTCTTCTGCCTCCCAGCAGTTGCAGCCTAACACATCTGGAGGAAACCAAGTTGAGGAAGACCGATCTAGTTTTCTCTGACTTCAGTTTACCTTTACAGATAATAATATTGACTCTGCATGCACTGTCTGAGACTCTGATGAAATTACTACACTCTGTGTAAATGTATGCCTGAATAAATGTGAAAACTCTCTGAAGACTCTCTGAGAGTTCCAGAAAACTCTTTGTTGTGTTTGGATGAAAGAGTGAGCTATTGATGCAATACTTAGACTGTGCTGCCCTAATATTTATTTTTATTTATTTGATTTATATCCCACCATTTTTCTTACAAAGAACTCAGAGCTGCTTACATAATACTCTTCCTCCTGCTCTCAGTCTTATCCCAACAACAACCCTGTGAGGGAGGTTGGGCTGAGAATTGTGACTGGCCCAGAGTCACCCAGTTAGCCCCATGGCTGAGCAGAGACTGGAACCCAGATCACCTGAGTCCCAGACCCATGCCTTTAACCTTGACACCACATAGCTCTCCAGTAAATAGTAAATAAAGTCTTCCTTTCCACCTGAAACAAAATCCACTACATCATGCAACACTTCCAACAAAGTTAAGGCATATATCTAAAAATAAACTTGGAAAAAAATTAATTAAAAACAATTATAAAATTTCAAGCTTGAAGAGTTTTTAATCCTAATTAAAATGCCAGAGAGTATAACTCACAAAGGGTTTCCATGTTGGAACAAGTATATCCCAATCTGACATGGAAAACATGTTTGCATAACCGCATTTAGGCAGCAGCTGTGTAGTCCAAAGGCTTCACTCAAACAGAATTACATATAAAGCCAGTCTTTTAACCACCTACAGCTCTTACTTGGTCATTATACCAGTCCGTAGCCACCTTCTGCTTAATATATTAGGCCTGAGTGTAAGTGTGTGAGGGCAAAGAAGTAACACAAATGCACTTTGGGATTGGTCATCTATCTCAAGTGTGAGAAATGTTTTGCATTATGCCAGTTTTGTTCCGTGTACAGCAGAAAATGATCAATATTTCCATTCTCCCTGACAAAGAGTTCTGGGTAACTCAAAAGCATGCATGCTTCCTTGCTGGCAGTACCAGAGTCACACTGCTTGCAACAGAGTGTAGAGTTGGCACATGGCCTAGAAGTGCTGCAGCAAAAGGTTTCATCTGGCTACCTGAATACATGAATGAGAGGACACCCATGTTGCCCATGGGTAGCCATGCAAAATGAAACTTCACAAGAGAGATCCTGTGGTCATGCATGCCCTTCTGATATTGAAATACTTAATTAGAGATCTTTATGATGACATTGCCATAAGTGAAACCCTGTCAGTGGTGTGTTCTTCCACTCAGCAACTTCTTTAGTAGCACCCATATACAATGGGAACCTAGACACAACGCAGTTTTTACATGATTTATTTATTTAATTCTATGCTGCTCAACAGCAAAAGTTGCTGGGCATTTTACACAACCTCTCTGAGCATTTTATCATCAAAACAATGATAACCAAAATTCAATAAAAATATCAGAAAAATCAGAAAAAAATTAAAAATAAACTCCATCTAGCTACCTCATTCTTTGCCGTTCCCTTCTTCTTTTGCCGTCAGTTGTTCCCAGCATTATGCTCTTCTCCAGGGAGTCCTTCCTTCTCATTAGGTGGCCAAAGTATTTGAGTTCATCTTCACTTTCTGGCCTTCTAAAGAGCAGTCAGGGTTGATCTCCTCTAGGACTGACTGGGTTGCTCGCCTTGCGGTCCAAGGGACTCGCAGGAGTCTCCTCCAGCACCACAATCGAAAGGCCTCAATTCTTCGGCACTCAGTCTTCCTTATGGTCCAACTTTCACAGCCATACGTTTGCAACTGGGAAAACCATAGCCTTGACTATATGCACTTTTGTTGGCAGGGTGATGTCTCTGCTTTTTAGTATGCTGTCTAGAAGTACATTGTTGTTATTCAGCTGCAGATAGTATGTAGTTGCCTCCACACCTAGTGCTGGGCGTAATGCAATGTTGTTATCAGTGCTAGCTCCAGTTTTTGGAGGCCCCTTGGGAAAAACGGACTTAGTGTCCTGCCCTCATCTTTGCTGTGTCAGAAATCTGTGATTCTGCCCGCTCACCAGTCCCACCTAACACACAGTATGAATGTCATACAGGCTCTCACACACACCACTTTCCAGAAAGAATTAATAGCCCCAGTCATTCGAAATTATGTGTTGTGTAAGCAGGCAGTGCATAGTTATTTGAATTAAAGCTATGGCATCTTTTAGGCTAAGTAGCTTCATGCATTAAGCAGGAATGAAATTAAACAGTTTGGATTACAACAATAACAAAATGAGATCTGCATTATTTTCATCTCTTCAGAGTACATCCTCTTGCAGTTGATTTCCCAACACAAGCAAGATTTGTTCTTACGTGGATAGCACTGCTCTGTAAATTGTAATCCTATCTTCTTTTTAACAGGTTATTACATGTTTTTCATTTGTCAAGACAGTAGAAATGGTAAACACTTCTGCCATCCTGTCCTGCCCCGCCCCACTGCCATTTCCCCTCCTTCCCCTTGTCATATTGTCCTGAAAGAAGAAAGGTTCCGTGTATACAAGTAAAATTATTAAGCAAAAACTAACACAATGAATAGTTTCATAAGAGAAAGACGTCTTTAATAGCATATACGTCTCTTTCTAAGGCCTGGTTTTGCAAAGGATCACATTATTCTGCATATCATTTATGTAAGAAAATCCATACTGGATCAGACCAGTCATCTATCTTGTCTAGCAAACCAGCTACCCAAAAGGTCCCTCAAGCAGGACAGATACAAGAATTCCACCTATCCAAGCTCCTCCACAGCCGGGGTACACAGGATTACCACCTCTGATAATGGACAAGGCTAGTAGCCATTGATAGTCTTCTTTTGCATGCATTTATCCAGTCTCCTTTTAAAGCAATCCAGATTGGTGGCCATCTCTACTTGTAGTTAATGCCATAGTTTAGCTATGCACTGTCTGAAGAAGTGCTTTGATCTGTCCTGAAACTTCCAGCAATCAGGTTCATGGGGTGACCCTGGGTTCTTGTATTAAGGGAGAGGAAGAAAAATAACTTACCACTTTCTGCACACCATGCATAATTTCAAATGCCTTTATCATGTCTTCTTTTCGCCTAAGCTTAAAAAAGCCCAGTTGTTGAAACTCTGGCCCATTCAAAGAAATCTCCCCCTATTAATGGAATTTTCTTTTCTTTTAGCAATTTGGTGTAATGTTGCTTTCCATGAGTAGCTAAGGTCAATAGATCTTGTATCCAGTTGTGTATATTTGTGGTTTTGTTTGCTTTCCTGTGCTGTAGAATAACACGCTTAGCTGTTACCATGGCCTTACTAAACCTCCTGCCAAGTTCCATTTGCCCAGAATGTATTTCACTAAGGCATGGACATCTTTTGTGTTGATTAAGGTTTTCTAGGTCCATGTTGATCTTGGTTAGAACCTCAAGCAAGGATGAAAATAGATAATCCCATCTTTAAGAACATTCAGATATTTTAGGAGGCTTTGTTATCTGAGAGTGGAGCACATATTTCTTATGCATCAAGAGCTGAAGCCCACTGGGTGATTTTGGGCCAGTCACAGACTTTCAACCTAGCCTACCTTATAGGTTTGGGATTAAAAGGAGGAAGAGGAGGAGGAGGAGGAGGTGATAAGATCAAGGTAAATTCAAATGAATAGCAGGAGGAGAATTATGTAAGCTACCTTGAGTTCTTTGAAATGGAAAAAGTTAGGATAGAATAGCAAATAAATGTTATGTCAGGGCTGTATCTGCCTTATTTCCTAAATGTATCATACATAATGAGCTCATACCTAACCTGTTCATGCATGCATAATGCCCATGGAAATCATTGGGCTCAAAACATGCATGACTGGTGTGATATCTTTATGGTCATGGAATCTGTTTATAAATAATGGAGAACATTGGCTTTTTCTAGGATAAAAACATCTGCATGTTTGGATCCAGGCTACATTAGCTCAGTTGAGACCCACTGAAATAAGTGGGACAAGTAAGCCTTGACACAAATCCCATAGATTTCAGTGGAGAAGGAGCTTAAGAGGACAATCCTATACATATCTACTCAAAAGGAAACCTAATTGAGTTTAATGGGATTGCAGCCTTAATGTGGATCCAGGCCATAGTCTGAAGTGACGCTGGAAGGGGGAAGGAATGTTGACTTTTCCTGTACAGGCAGTCCCAGATTATGAACTTCCAAGTTACGAACAACCTGTACTTACA